GTAGGAGACCATTTGGAGAAGGCCATTCAGTTGGCACAATCCGTAAGGCATAATTTGTCATGGTTATAGAGCGTGATATCATCTGAGCAGAATAGCCTTGAGGGCCTGATTTTTAGAGGTACTGAGCATCTGCTGCTCCCCCTGACTTCAGCTGGAGCTGTGCTTTCTCTTGCACCTTTCAAAATCAAACCTTTAATCTGTGGCTGCTTCAGCGTAAGATTTTTTTCAAAAATATATCCTGTCAGAATTTCAATCAAATAAATCAAGCTTTCCAATATTCCTTTAATCCATGAGGCAGAGTAGCCATAACTGGAAGTGTGTAACTTCTAGATTATATGGGGAAATCTCTTGCTAAATGACCATTTGGCAACATGTCGATTCTTGGCAGCATGAACAGGTTTTCACACAGAATGTGTCTCTGCTGCACAGGGGAGAGAGAGGGTGGAGAGTGCACGTGCAATTTCACGCATGATAGCATTGGATGTGTTATACATTGGCAATTAGAAACTGGGTGTAAACTGCTTGACTTCAATGGGAGACATGGGTGTTCTGCCTCTCTCAGGATCATGTCCTGTCACACAAGGAGAAAACACAAGTTCCGACAAAAAATACCTACAAGGAAGACCTAGAGTGTCAGCCACAGAATTTAATTAGTTCATTAGTTTAAACAGATAAATGTAGTTGTTATAATGCCCCCTTCTTCCTGGTGGAACAACTTGTCTAAGATCCACTTTGGACATCTCTGTTGTTTTTTAACTTTTATCTACACCTCGTCCACTTTAAGCCCTAGCCACATGACTCTATTCTAGCACCTTCCCACCAGTCCACATTCCCTCTTACTTACCAGGTATAATTAATGAAGGGTCTATTTCTCATCCTTCACATTCCAGAAGTGTTTGGAATAACTTCCATGCACAGGAAAAATCTTGCAAAGAGAAGTAAATCCCAACCTGGACTTTTTTTGTTGTTGTTGGTTTTTTAAACATACTTTATACCGGTGGAAGGATTTTCTAGTGGCAGGGGAGGGCATGCTTCCCTTGCATATAGTGCATTTTACAGCTCGACTGGTAGCTTGCACATGCCTAAGATTTTGTATACAGTTTACAGGTTATTTTAACTATTAGCGGCAATCTTTTTTCCTAACATCTGGTAAAAAAGATTTACCAAACAGCAGAAAGAAAAGCTGTATAACATAAGAGCTAAAACAATAAAACCCAAGTAATATTTTCTCCAACCCTAATGCAACAGGGCCAATGTAGGCAGACTGATGAATCTACAGCTGTAATACGTATGGGTGCATGTCCATTACCTTCTTTGATTTCAGACCTCCATCAGAAGTCATTATGTACTGATCCTTTCTCCTGTCTACACAGCCATTTTACAAATCCAGCATGTGGAATAAGTGGGTTTGAGCCTTGACACAGCTGTTCTCATTCCCAATGGACTTCCTTTTCCTGCTACATAAGCAGTGAGTAACAGGTGAACCAGATCTAAGAAACCTACTGGAACATGTGGCATAGCTAGTGGTTCACTTGATAGCTTGTTTGCACATGGGAAGAGTTGCACTAATGACTGCTCTAGGGGAGAGGCTCCAGGGAGCAGCCTTGTATATCCCCAGGCAGGATTGTATAAAGGGCTAACGGTGGCTATATTAGACTATATTTTGTTTCCTCACCACTGTTGGCATTCGTATGAGCAAAACTCCAAGCTCCTGTTAAGAAGGTAGGAGAAATGGAATGTGACTGTGAGCTGCTTCTCCTGCTCGTCACCCTACTGGCAACAAGCGAGTTGCTGAATTTCCCCAGGACTAGGGTCGGAGCGAAAGTAGTTGCTTGTGCCTATGCTCAATTCTGCTTCCTCCCCATACTGGCAGAAGATGCACAATGATGTTATTGCTCATACAGGGCCTGATTCTGGCACTAGGTGTCCCGATTTATAGGGACAGTACTGATTTTTGGGTCTTTTTCTTATATAGGCTCCTATTACCCCCACCCTGATTTTTCACACTTGCTGTCTGGTCACCCTATCTGGCATCGTTACTCATATTGGGTAGTCCCTTACTCCATGAGCATTCCTGGGTTGTTCTATGGAATGACCCAATGCAAATAAGAGTGTCAGAACCGGACCCTCAGTAAATATACCCCAAAATGAAAAGTTGTAAGTAAAACATTAGCTCTAAGTTGCCACAGAGTATAAGTCTTAATTTGCACCTCCTTGTTTTTAGGGGTTTGAATCAGACATTTATCCCTAAACTTTCAAAGTTTTACAGGAGACTGTGGTGTTTAATCCTGTGCATCTCTGAATATTTAGGGCTGAATGTTATTTTCACACGTGTTTCTCTGATTTCATACTCTGGATTTTTTTTAAATTTAACATATTGTGGCAGGTATCTTTATAACCTATTTTTGATATTATATAGTACTAATGGTGGCTGAAGCTTTAATAAATCAGTTGTCAATATGACAACTGAGTTCTTAAGGAATTCTTGTTGTTCCAATCTGTAGCCTGGCTTTTATGAGCCAATTTGGATTCAGGTCTGTGTGAAAGTATTCCTTAATACAGTATAATGGCTGTGTTTCAATAATTAGAAACCCACAGCAATGGTGAAAAATGGCTCTTTTTCTGGAGGTATAACTTTGAGAAAACAAATCCACAGGGTTATAAGTCTCAGCAGATATATAGGGTTATAAGTCTCAGCAGCAAATATTTGCTCTTGATAAAGTTTTGTTGCCAGTGTTCTAATCCTTATTCTCAGACAAAACAATGTTTAGCCTGCTTTTTCTATTCAGTTAATAACAGAGTTAGAAGAAAATGGCTTTCCTGTACCATGAGAATTTTCAAGATTTTAGGAATTTGTTCCCATCCTGAACTGGGAGAAAAAGTTGAACCCTTGAAAATTTTCACAAACTGAAAATCAGACACACAAAAATTTGGATCAGATGAATCAAAATGTTTTGTTTCAATAATTTCAGAACATTTCATTTTGATTTTGACCTTTTACATTTTTCAACCTTTTAAAATATAAATTAACATAAAGTTCAAAACAACAGTAATTTTACCTGTTTAAAAAAATGTGAAAAAGGAATGTTTCAACAATTAAAAAACAACTTTTTTTTAAACAAGAAATTAGTTGATCCCATCCCTTTCCTGCAAACAGCTTTGGTTTCAATTAATTGCCACTTTTTAATGGAAAAACATTTTGTTAAAAAATTCTTGACCAGCTCCAGTCAATAACCCTTTTCTCTTATTACTTGATTCCACCACTAAATTAAAAAGAGAAATGTACCACTGAAGTAACTGGAAAACCCAGTTCTGTGTTGAAGTCAGAATGTGACCACACAACACGTCACAATAAGGATTAGCTAGTTAGTGTTGTGTTAGGGAAGGGTCTGTCCATTTTTCCATTGCAAACACTTTTTGCATTAAACAATTGTAAAAATCTGCTCCAGTTTAAAATTCATGTATCAACCCAGGACTGATTTACGTTCTTTAAAAATGCAATTGAAGGGGCAAATCCTGCCTGCTCCCTTATGGGTACAGAGGGCCTCCAGGGGTGGGATCGGTGCAGTTCTGCTGCTGGGGAGAGGAGGAAATATGTGCTGTCTCCCGTGCCAGAGCAGGCCACGGCAGCCAGGAGCAGTAATTACGGAGTAAATCCTTCTCAACCTCCACATGATCCTTATAGGTAGACTCTATAAGCATGATCCTTATAGGTAGACTCTTATTTAGTTGCCAAACTCTAACAAGTGTCTATTGACCATGTGCACCCTGAGCTTTTTCAAAGGCTTATAACTTGTCTAACTTTGGTCAGATTTTAGGGGGGACATCAAAAGACACATCCCTGACACCAGGATCACTATCCTGCAAAATTTCAAGTCCCAGCTCCAAAGTATGATGGAGGGACTAGAGATTCCCAACCAAATGTTGTAAGAACATTTTAACATAGGGCAAACTATCTTGTTTTGCCTATCTCACTCTCAGAAATGGCTGAATCACTTTTTATTTGAAACTTAAAAGTAAGTAAATACATAACTTTTGCCCAAGCCAGGTACTTGGCATGGAAAATTTCAGCCCAAATAGTTGAAGTTTGGCAGATTCATAAGCAACTGGCAGTGGGTCTTACAACTGAACGTTTAAGTCAATCTAAACTGTAGGTTACCAGCTCTGCTTAGCCTTTAATCAATGAGAATGAAAACACAAGGGTTTTACTCTTCAAAGTACTCTACCTATGGATTCACCAATCCTCGCAACATCCCTGTGAGAAAGTGATCTCGATTTTCTAAATGGGGAAACCTCAGGCAGGTAGATCAAGTGGTTGTCCCTATGCCAAACTATTCCTCAGCAATGGAATTATTAGACTAGAAATCCATTTTTAGTATCGTGGCTTGTTGAGGAATATCAGTGCAGCAGACCTCTCTGAAATGCCCCCTTTTGAGAAAGTCTGTGTGCAAGGATGGCACCGTAGTAAAGGCACAGGGCACAGGCAGTGCTTAATTTGTGCCCTGTCTCCTTTAGGCTTGGGCAGTGCATACCCCTGGCCAACTCTCTGCTGCATCAACTCTCTGGGCCAGACGCATGGGGGGGAAAATGGCTTGAGCCCCAACATCTATTTCATCACCATTTAAGCACGGGGCACGGTTTGATTTCAAGCTGCTCTTACACGCTTGAATCTCCCGTAGGCTGCCTTGGAGACCCTCTGTTCCCCAGTTCCCCGCCCTATCTGTATCTTCCCGAGCTCACGGGGGTCTTGTGAGATTCCCTCATTAATATCTGTGAAGCCCGTTGAGATTCTCAGATGGGAGGTGCCACAGAAGTGAAAAATCTCATGATTACTGATCTGAAACAGCGCGGAAGCACTCTGGACTTGGAAATCCCCAGCTGTTCAATTGCTGCAGGCCAGCAGCCCGCCAGCTTGATTTCTGAGCCACACGGGGTTGGGGTTGCTTTGTGCAAGAAGGAAAGCTCCAGGGCTGACAAGTACGTGATCCCCGGGAACAAATGCGTGACGCTCAGACACCCCTCCTCCCCCGCCTCCAGTTACATCCCTGGCAGGGGACAGCAATTCTCAGCTTCTCTTTCCAGGGTTATTTTGGGCTGGGGCTGCGGCAAAGCTTTGGCAAGCCCCCGGTGTCCTTGTTCAAAAAGAGGAGCTAGTTCGCCGCCCAGCGCGCAGTGGAGGGAGGCGAGCGGGCGGCGAGGAGCCCCGGCGTCTCCTCGGCTCCCGGCTAAGTGTCCCCAGGAGTTTTGGAGGCGAGAGCCCGCCAAGCGCGGGCCGGGGCAGGGTGAGCCCGAGGCGGCGGGGGCGGCGCTCGATGCCCAGGAGCTGAAGCGAGGCGAGCCCCGCTCTGGAGGCAGGCGGCTGAGGGGGCTGGATTAAGCCTCGGCGGGCGGTCCCGGGCAGGCCAGGGCGAGGGGAGCCACGTTCCTGCGGCGGGCAGCGATGGAGGGGAGCCCCATCCCGGTGCTCACGGTGCAGACCGCCCCCTACCAGGACCAGAAGCCGACGGGCGGTGGGGGGCTGCGGCGGCCCACGGGGCTCTTCGAGAGCCAGCGCAACTACCTGCCCAACTTCGTGCAGAGCCTGCTCTCCTCCATCGACCTGCGCGACCGCCAGGGCTGCACCATGGTGGTGGGGAGCGACGGCAGGTACTTCAGCCGGACGGCCACCGAGATCGTCGTGCAGATGGCCGCGGCCAACGGGGTGAGCCAGCCCGAGCTGCAGCTCCCAGCCCTCGGCACCGCCGCACGCACTCGCCGCCCCCCCGGGCCCTCAGCGCCCCCCCCCCCGACCCATTGCCCCACTGCTCCCCCGGGCCCTCAGCGCTCCGCCCCCCCCCGACCCATTGCCCCACTGCTCCCCCGGGCCCTCAGCGCTCCGCCCCACCCCCCGACCCATTGCCCCACTGCTCCCCCGGGCCCTCAGCGCTCCGCCCCACCCCCCGACCCATTGCCCCACTGCTCCCCGGGCCCTCAGCGCCCCCCCCCCGACCCATTGCCCCACTGCTCCCCCGGGCCCTCAGCGCTCCGCCCCCCGACCCATTGCCCCACTGCCCCCGGGCCCTCAGCGCCCCCCCCCCGACCCATTGCCCCACTGCTCCCCCGGGCCCTCAGCGCTCCGCCCCCCGACCCATTGCCCCACTGCTCCCCCGGGCCCTCAGCGCTCCGCCCCCCCCCGACCCATTGCCCCACTGCTCCCCCGAGCCCTCAGCGCTCCGCCCCCCCCCCGACCCATTGCCCCACTGCTCCCCGGGCCCTTAGCGTCCCCTCCCGACCCATTGCCCCACTGCTCCCCGGGCCCTCAGCGCCCCCCCCCCGACCCATTGCCCCACTGCTCCCCCGGGCCCTCAGCGCTCCGCCCTCCCCCCGACCCATTGCCCCACTGCTCCCCCGGGCCCTCAGCGCTCCGCCCTCCCCCGACCCATTGCCCCACTGCTCCCCCGGGCCCTCAGCGCTCCGCCCTCCCCCCGACCCATTGCCCCACTGCTCCCCCGGGCCCTTAGCGTCCCCTCCCCCCCGACCCATTGCCCCACTGCTCCCCGGGCCCTTAGGTCCCCTCCCGACCCATTGCCCCACTGCTCCCCGGGCCCTCAGCGCTCCGCCCCCCCCGACCCATTGCCCCACTGCTCCCCCGGGCCCTCAGCGCTCCCCCCCCCCCGACCCATTGCCCCACTGCTCCCCCGGGCCCTCAGCGCTCCGCCCCACCCCCGACCCATTGCCCCACTGCTCCCCCGGGCCCTCAGCGCTCCGCCCCCCCCGACCCATTCCCCCACTGCTCCCCCGGGCCCTCAGCGCTCCGCCCCCCCCCCGACCCATTGCCCCACTGCTCCCCCGGGCCCTCAGCGCTCCGCCCCACCCCCCGACCCATTGCCCCACTGCTCCCCCGGGCCCTCAGCGTCCCCTCCCCCCCCGACCCATTGCCCCACTGCTCCCCCGGGCCCTTAGCGTCCCCTCCCGACCCATTGCCCCACTGCTCCCCGGGCCCTCAGCGCTCCGCCCCCCCCGACCCATTGCCCCACTGCTCCCCCGGGCCCTCAGCGTCCCCTCCCCCCGACCCATTGCCCCACTGCTCCCCGGGCCCTTAGCGTCCCCTCCCGACCCATTGCCCCACTGCTCCCGGGCCCTCAGCGTCCCCTCCCCCCGACCCATTGCCCCACTGCTCCCCCGGGCCCTTAGCGTCCCCTCCCGACCCATTGCCCCACTGCTCCCCGGGCCCTCAGCGCTCCGCCCTCCCCCCGACCCATTGCCCCACTGCTCCCCCGGGCCCTCAGCGTCCCCTCCCCCCCCCGACCCATTGCCCCACTGCTCCCCCGGGCCCTTAGCGTCCCCTCCCGACCCATTGCCCCACTGCTCCCCGGGCCCTCAGCGCTCCGCCCTCCCCCCGACCCATTGCCCCACTGCTCCCCCGGGCCCTCAGCGCTCCGCCCCCTCCCCCCGACCCATTGCCCCACTGCTCCCCCGGGCCCTCAGCGCTCCGCCCTCCCCCCCGACCCATTGCCCCACTGCTCCCCCGGGCCCTCAGCGTCCCCTCCCCCCCCGACCCATTGCCCCACTGCTCCCCCGGGCCCTCAGCGTCCCCTCCCCCCCCGACCCATTGCCCCACTGCTCCCCTGGGCCCTCAGCGCCCCGCCCCTCCCCCCCGACCCATTGCCCCACTGCTCCCCCGGGCCCTCAGCGCCCCCTCCCCCCCCGACCCATTGCCCCACTGCTCCCCCGGGCCCTCAGCGTCCCCTCCCCCCCCGACCCATTGCCCCACTGCTCCCCCGGGCCCTCAGCGTCCCCCCCCCCGACCCATTGCCCCACTGCTCCCCGGGCCCTCAGCGCCCCCCGACCCATTGCCCCACTGCTCCCCGGGCCCTCAGCGCTCCGCCCCCGACCCATTGCCCCACTGCTCCCCCGGGCCCTCAGCGCTCCGCCCCCGACCCATTGCCCCACTGCTCCCCCGGGCCCTCAGCGCTCCCCCCCCCGACCCATTGCCCCACTGCTCCCCCGGGCCCTCAGCGCTCCGCCCCCCCGACCCATTGCCCCACTGCTCCCCCGGGCCCTCAGCGCTCCGCCCCCACCCCCGACCCATTGCCCCACTGCTCCCCCGGGCCCTCAGCGTCCCCTCCCCCCCCCCGACCCATTTCCCCACTGCTCCCCCGGGCCCTTAGCGTCCCCTCCCGACCCATTGCCCCACTGCCCCCGGGCCCTCAGGCCCCCGACCCATTGCCCCACTGCTCCCCCGGGCCCTCAGCGCCCCGCCCTCCCCCCGACCCATTGCCCCACTGCTCCCCCGGGCCCTCAGCGCCCGCCCCTCCCCCGACCCATTGCCCCACTGCTCCCCCGGGCCCTCAGCGCCCCGCCCTCTCCCCGACCCATTGCCCCACTGCTCCCCCGGGCCCTCAGCGCCCCGCCCTCTCCCCCGACCCATTGCCCCACTGCTCCCCCGGGCCCTCAGCGCTCCGCCCTCCCCCCGACCCATTGCCCCACTGCTCCCCCGGGCCCTCAGCGTCCCCTCCCCCCCCGACCCATTGCCCCACTGCTCCCCCGGGCCCTCAGCGCTCCGCCCTCCCCCCCGACCCATTGCCCCACTGCTCCCCCGGGCCCTCAGCGTCCCCTGCCCCCCCCCGACCCATTGCCCCACTGCTCCCCCGGGCCCTCAGCGTCCCCTCCCCCCCCGACCCATTGCCCCACTGCTCCCCCGGGCCCTCAGCGTCCCCCCCGACCCATTGCCCCACTGCTCCCCCGGGCCCTCAGCGCTCCCTCCCCCCGACCCATTGCCCCACTGCTCCCCCGGGCCCTCAGCGTCCCCTCACCCCCCCCGACCCATTGCCCCACTGCTCCCCCGGGCCCTCAGCGTCCCCCCCCGACCCATTGCCCCACTGCTCCCCCGGGCCCTCTGCGCTCCCTCCCCCCCGACCCATTGCCCCACTGCTCCCCCGGGCCCTCAGCGCCCCCTCCCCCCCGACCCATTGCCTCACTGCTCCCCTGGGCCCTCAGCGTCCCCTCCCCCCCCCGACCCATTGCTCCACTGCTCCCCCGGGCCCTCAGCCCCCCCATGCACTCGACACTCCCCCCACCCATTGCCCCTCTGTGCCCTCTGCTCCCCTGAGCTCTCAGCATCTCCCACCCATTGTTTTCTGCTCCCTCGAGCCCTCCCCCTGCCCCGCCACATTCTTCACTCATTGCCCCCCCCATACGCTCTGCATCCCCCACCCATTGCTCCTCTGTGCCCTCTGCTCTCCTGGGGCCTCAGCACCCCACCTCTCTGCATCCTCTCATTGCCCCCTGTGCCTTTGGTACTCCCTACCCTCAGCACCCCGTTGCTACATGCCCTCTGCTGCCCTGTGCCCTCTGAATCCCCCATACCCACCCACTGCTCCCCTGTACCCACTGACCCCCTTGCTTTCTGCATCCCCTTACCCATCCAGAGCTTCCCTATCCTCCCACTGAGTCTTTGGGTCCTCTGGTTCCCACCATCCACCTATTTGCTACAGCCCTGTGGCCTCTGCCTCTCCTTGCCCCACTCCTGGCCTGTGTCATTTGCACTACCAATCATGCCTTGATCCACCCACTGTACCCCATGCCTTCTGCTCTCCACTTGGCACTCACCCACTGCAGCCTGTATCCTCTGCTCCCCAGCATCCACCCATTGAGTCCTCATGCCCTCTGTGTCCTGATCGTGCTGTTGCAGGTCCATGCCCTCTGCATCCCCTGCAGCGAGGGTTACTAGATAGCAACTGTGAAAAAAACGGGATAAGGCTGGGGGGTAATAGGCGCCTATATAAGAAAAAGTCCCAAAAAACAGGACTGTCCCTTTAAAAACGGGACAGCTGGTCACCCTACCTGCAGCTTCTGTGCTCCCTCCATTCCCTTCTGTGGCCCCTTCCGGCACTCATCCACCAACAGCAAATCCATGTCCTTTGCTCCCCACATGAACCCACTGCACCCCTATGCCCTCCATTTCCCCATGCCGCCTACATGCTGCAGTCCCTTGCCCTCACCTCAGCCCCACATTACAGCCTCATGACCTCTGTCCCTCATGTGCCCACTGCACCTCCTTGCCCTCTGCTCCCTCCACCTTTTGCATTCACATGTCCCCTGCTTCCCCCAGCCAACTTGTGCAGTCCTGGGTACTCCACTTCCCCACCATTCACAATCCCATGCTGTCTGCTTCTTCCTCTGCTCCCCCACCTGCCCACTGCAGCTCTGTGGCTTCCATTCCCCACCCTGCATAACCTTGTCACCACTGCTCCCCACACCCATTCACTGCACCCACCCATCCTTGTGGCAGTCAGGGGTGCTGAGAGCCATTGAACCAAACTGTAAACCGTGTATATGATGGAAACCACTTCAAGCCGGGGGGTGCAGTAGCATCCCCAGCACCCCTAGTACCGGCACCTATGGTGGCAGTGTGCTGTATCACGCGCTCAGTACCACCAATCTATCTAATCTGTCCACTTACTGCTAGGGTTGCCAATCCTCCAGAATTGGCCTGGAGTCTCCAGGAATTAAAGATTAATCTTTAATTAAAGATTATGTCATGTGATTAAATCTCCAGGAATACGTCCAACCAAAATTGGCAACCCTACTTACTGCACCCCCCATTTTCTCTATGCCCATCCACCAAGAGCATTCCCCAACTACACCCTTTTGACTGTCATCCCTATGCCCATCCACATAGCACATCTCTATACCTTCCTTTGCTCCTTCACACATTAC